TTCCTCGACACATCCGTGCTCATCCCTGGACCCGAAGCACAGCTTCATCACCTTACAAACCTCATCATCCTCATACCTGCCTGGGCAGCTAATGACAGGTACCAAATAACTCAGTTATTTAAAGGTTCCGTTTCTGAAAGTAGGGTCGTGTGTTAACAGGCAAGCTAATAGGCAACAATGTCAAGCTAACAATACGTAAGAGTTTACCTAAAATTAATAGTCTGCTAACATTAAACTATTTCCAATTAGCCTAGCAATAAGACTGGAGCTAACAATAAACTGAGGCTCGCACAAGCCAGCTAACAGTTAACCATCTTCTCCACAGACAATATAACTAGCAATGTTACGCTAAGTACTAACAGTAACCACCAAACAGCACACCTTACATCTACCAAAATGTAGCTACAAGATAACATGGTAGAGTTGAAAGCTGACACAGGCATGGAAACATAGTGAAGCTAATACCTAGCACAGTCGAGCAGCTTTCAGGAGTCTATCTAACAGCTAACACTTATCAGCAGAGCAGAGATAGCGTCTAGCCAAATTTAGCTAGCACCTAACAAATTAGTCCAAGCAGCTAACACAAGCCAGCAAACAGAAGGAAGCCAACACAGCCTGCCAACACAGCCTGTTAGCTAGTTTTCAGAAGTTTAGCTAACAGAGTCCATCTAACAGCACAGCTAAGGATGATCAGAATTTAGCTAGAAGCTAACACGGTAAAGCTAACAGCTAACACAGTTAACCTAACTGCACAGCTTACATCTAGCAGAATTTAACTAAAAGCTAACATGGTAAAGGTTCTATGTAGTTAACCTTAAATGATTCTCACATTCCCTCTGGTATGTCCATCAATCCCTGTCTCGGCGCTCAGTGACTGTACGAAGCTCCAGAGACTTCATGGGTTTCCTGCTTCAGGCTCGCAGTATTGGTGGGGAAAGGAAGGATTTTGGAGAAGGTTCTGGTATCAGGACAGAGAGACTCGGTCCACTTCTGGTGGGTGGCTCCTGGATTCGATCTCCACCAGGTACCCACACCTTACGTTGCCTGTTTGAAGGTGACACGGTCACACACTCGGACAAACAGCTAAAGAGGAACCTGTCGTTTGTGTGGAGAGCTCCTGACATGCCAAAGGGAGACATACGCTTCCAGTAAGCTGCCAATTCTTGATCACTACAAGCTATTTAGGGAATTCCAATAAATCAAAATGTTTATTTTTCCATATTTGTCTTTAATCTGTACGCCAGCATAACTGTGGTACAATCCTACTTCGTGTACTGGACTGGTATTGAGTCTGCAGTGGTGCGTGATCGGAGACCAGTGCTTGGAGACGCAGTAAAACCAAAATGGCGGATGGAGCAAGCACAACTGTTGCTGTGCAAGAGACTGTTACTGCCCAGACAGGTTGGCATTCTGTGCTCATTATTAGCTAAAAACAATGAGAAAGTTGAGAAAATGAAAGGTGTTGTGAAATGTTATTTATTTGTCTTTGTCCTTTTTCCCCTCCTTGCGCTTAAAGCTATCAGAAAAGCTACTCTTGCTTCCTTCTCTGGACGGCCTTCCAATATAAAAAATGCAACGGAGATTCTGAAATTTTTGAAAGTACAAACCGAAGATGATCACACATTAGAAACAAACAGCTCTGTAATTTGGACAACTCAAACAGTGGCTGCAAGGAAGACTTTAACTTCAGGATCTCCTCAAAGTGCCATCAATGAGTCTCCTGGATTCCTCACAGGGGTGTCAAAATGGATAACAACTAAACCCTTTTCTTACACAAGTATCTTTCCCTTACCATCATCACCTCCTGATACACATATAAAGGCACTACAGCACAGTTTCCACTTGCTTCATATTCCGCATTAAACTCTCTTGTACCCTTACAAATGGACACATGGACAAAGAGCAATGATCTCCAGATAAAATCACAAGAGCTAAAACTTAAAAACAATCCTGGAGGAAAACATTACAGGACATTTATGGTAATACCAACCCAAGGTCCAACAATGGAAACCTTTATCAGTACAGATACTCCTGTAAACCACACTTTGACAGACCCAAACAAAAACAAATCAAGAAAGTCTGAGACCTCAAGCAGCACAGAGAAACTGGGTGACAGTGTCCTGTCTAATTCCCAATTGAAGATAGTCAAGACCGAAGTAACCCCATCCTACCAAAGATCTTCGTTCAATTCTTCTAGGGTTCAAATGGCTGTAGATCTTAAGTCCCAAACTAATGCAAGTCAAACTTCTGTAGGACCCAAAAGTACTCCAAAACAAACGAGTTCACCTAAAAAAACAATCCCCATCTTTCAGCAAACTCTGCCTCAAAGTCAACCTATTTCTCTCCAGGGAGAAAATACCCATTTTGACTCATTAACAGAGTTTTTGAGACCCTTTTCCAAACAACTGTCCCAAACAAGAAGGGTGTTTTCTGTAACTCCTCAACCAGTCACAGTCTCCTCAGGAGGAAATGATCCTACGTTTCAAGGTAATACCAAAACCATGGTCCCAGTTGTTGGTTTTGTCACTTCATCATCTTTTTCAGTGTCTAATTCCTTAAGCAGTTCTTTTGCTAGTTGCCGCAGTGAAAACTTCACCTCAGTCACATCAGTATCTCCTATTCATTCCCCTTCTCGCCCATCTCAGAACAAACCTCAAACAACCCCAAATTATTCTGTACCAGCATCACCTTCCCCAATATCCATACCTCACCATTTAACCTCTACTAAATACCAAACTACCACTCCACCAACCTTCTCTACCCCTTTCACCATTTTTTCCTTCAGTGCCTCCAACTATCCAACAATGCCCTCTTCCCCTACTTCAACGTCCTCAACTTCTAAATCCTCGACTTTCTCTTCTTCTACTCCCTCTTTCTCAGTTACCTCACCATCTTTAAGAGTGAGTTCATCATCTTTCATTTCACCCATCACCTCCCTTAAATCAGAACCAACATCCGCACCTCATAAAATCACTCTAGATCAGAAGTTGGTAACCCAAACCCACCATGCACCAAACTCTGAGACTAGATTCACCTCTCCGGCACACAGAAAGTTTGTCCATCCAAACCCCAAACCTTATCCCAACCTCAGACCAAATCATGACCAAGAGATCAAACCAAACATTCAAAACACGGATACCAAACCAAAGCATCCCTCAGATCCCGCTGACGCTCCAGACAAAGAAGGAAAGTATCCGGACATTGTTCCCAGACACAGCGCCTGGGAGCTGGGCATGCTGCTGGGCTGCCAGCCGGGTTGGGCATGGTGCTGGTGGTCGGGCTGAGGTACGTCTACCGGCAGGCCTGCGGCAGGCGGACTGAGGTGACGCTGAACGGCCGCGAGCGAGAGTACGGGAGAGGGGACCAAGGGCTGGTTCACCTCCAGGAGTGTGGTGATTTGGTCAGAGTTAGAAAAATCAGAGAGAACAGCTTTGTGCTTCTGGCGGAGTACGATATTCTGGCTTCACCTTCAAACTGAGAGGCTCATAAAGACCGATTTTAAACATCCAGAAGAGGACAAGGCCCACCAAAAAAAAGAAAAAAAAACTTCACAAAATTCATATTCTGTCATTTTTTTCATACAAAAAAGTAAAAATTTTGAGATCTCTGTCAGAATTCAAAGGAAAAATAATGTAAGAATTCTGAGAAAAAACAAATTCTGGGATTAAAGTCACTTGAGAAGATTCTTTTTCGTGGCCATAATCCTCTTCCATAGGGAAGCGAACGATGACAGAAAGAAATGTCAAATCTACCAGAGGAAATTCCTTTTTAAGAAGAAATGGATATTATCCTTTATATCCCAAACCTGTTGCCATAACGCTTACTTTATATTAGTACAACAATTTTAAGTACTTTTATCATATTTTTATATCGTTGTTGTTTTTATTGACTAATGTTGACACGTTGCTTCATGCCTATAACTGTCTGAGGATATAATAAAAATACTTACAAATTGGTTCCCTTCCACTACGTTGTGGCTATTATTTCTAAACTCAATCTGTTGTTTCCTTGATAGTCCATTCATGTTTCACTGATCTTGTCAAGAGCAAATACAAAAACTGTAGAAAACTATTTTCCTCAATTTTGAAATTAAGAAATTTTCTAGAAAAAGTGAAAATCTGAGTTTCAAAGGTCAAAGATTTAATCTCAGAATAAAGTCTGAGATTAATTGGCGACTTAAAATGCCACTTTCCTCAAATGTCAAAAATCTCAAATTTACAAATTTGACTTTTCAAATGTCAAATTTTTTCTCAAATTTCTCACTTTAATTCCCAAATTTGTCATTTTTTCAGAAAATCTGTGACTTTCAAAACTTAGAAATTGAGTGTTTTTAATAGAACATTTCTTGTTATTTTTCAGCAACTTTTCAAACTCACAAAATTTCCTTGCTAGATGTAGGAAATGGCTGAGATTTTTGGCACATATTTTCTCCTTCTATTAATAGTGGCTCAAATACATCATCATATGTCTGCTCATGTGTAAAAATAACATTTTCAACTTTTAAGTCACATAAAGGTAATAATCCAGTTTATTTTCAGTGATATGTGGTTTATCCCTGCAGGCGGAGACTTTACATTAGACAATGATGTTTCCTAAATGGCCTAATTTCGCGTCAACCCCCCCAGATATTTCACAGGCTGATATTAGCTGCCACTTCTGCTTGCAAACGATGTGTCAGAAGCGCCATCTGTCCTGGAAAATGACAGGTCACTAAAATTAATGAGCCGCCAGTCGATTTGTTGCCAATTTGTTGTCTAACCAGCAACTAAAAGGAATTATTTCCACATGGATTTGTCCTGCAGTGCAAACGAAATGCTCATGAGGAATATTCCATCTTAAACACCAGGTGCTGCGTTGTTTTGGGGCTCCATTTTATGAAATGTGTGATAAAAATATTGTTTTATGTATTATTTCAAATGAAAAAGAACAAACTACCTGGTTAAAACCCAAGAAACGCATCCAAACAGAAACTGTGGCGTTTAAATAACACAATAGATATATTAAAGTTAAATAACAGGAGATCATTTGTTTATTTTTGTCGATTAGAAATATGAGTGATTAGCTCAACACCGCCCCCTGTCTGTGTAACACCAACACTCCTTCTGCTATATTAAGAAAGGGTCAAGAGGCCAAACTGTTAATGTTCATTCTATATTCAATGTAACAATCCAGCATTAATTTAAACAAAACCATTTACAGTTTCTGGCAGTCAAAGCTGGAAGAACCAGAATAGAAAACAAATAACAGAACTGGTCCCAGAAACCTCACCCACTTCCTGAAAATAGATCCTTTTCCCCCAGCACTATTTTTCCCTCAAAAGTTCAAGATATAAAAAAATAAAAACACATTTCATTTAAATATAAAACAATATAAACAATGGAAATGTGATTTTTGTTTGTTTTTTGTAGAAAATAGTAACAGGCTTTGATGGCAAACAGTGAATCCCGCTCTGCCACCTGGAGGTCCTAGTTGTTGTTGGTCGTAACAAGGCACTTTTTGTATCCTTCCGCCGCTCTGACGCATCAGACCGGCTGCAGGTTTGATAATTTGATCCCCTAAAACAGAAAAAAAACATGTTAAAACACTGATATTAATGCTTGTTAAAGATTTTAATTAATTGTGTTTCATTGACATAGTTTGATGAAGAAGGAAGTGAAATGGTGAAATAAAGGAGTGAATTTCCCACCACCAAACAGAGAAGCTAATTTTTGCAGCACTGATCCCAGCAGGTGAAATGTGGGCTTTTACCAGCAGGGGGCGCTAATACATAGTACTCTCAACTAATTTACAGCCAATCAGAGCAATTAAACGGTTCATACTGTAAAGGCAAGACTAAGAGGTTTTATCATTTTGAAATTATGAGAATAACTTTCTAATATTAACAGTTTAAAGACTGAAAAATGTCATAAAAATTCCAGGAAAAGAGACTTCTTAATGAGAAACGGGCTTTTATAGAAGATCTACTACGACGTATTGAGAACCAGACGAAGAGAAAACAGAGTAAAGAAATTACATTAACAGAATAAAGATGAAATATCAGAAAGAAATTATGAAAATGTTGTTTAGGGAGAAAAAGCTTCAAAAATTAAAGACATTTTTAAATTTAATATATTTCTTTTTATATCTATTTAATTTTTAAATTAACTTATATTTTGTTTTTAATTTATAAATTTTATTGACTTTTATTGCTATTTTGTAATTTTTGAAAAATTACTTTGATATTCTTTTTATCATTTAACTTATTTTCATGAATACTTTTTTATATTTAATGACTATTCTTTTTTTATCTTAATCAACTGAATAATTTTTATTCGGTTTATTTTTTTCATTGCTATTTCTATATTTTTAGGAAAGATTTTCTATTTTATTATTTAACTGAAGGATTTTTGTATTTTTAAAACAATCATTTTTAATCGAATCATTTTTTAAGCCAAGTTTTCTTCATCGTTGCCTCTTGAAGACCTTAATTTGGGCTGAACGGCGCCACCTGATGGCGGAAGGAAACAGGATAGTCTGGGATAATTAAATAGCGGCACAAATCACTCTGACTTAAAGTGTCAGGCAGAGACAGTCTGCTTGGGGTCAGTCTTTACTCACTCAGCCGTGGTCTATCTCAACAACAGACTAGTCTGTCAGAGAGGACAGAAGGTCAGAGGTCAGAACTGGAGCACAGCCAGCAGCCCGGGAGCCTCCACAGCGACTGGGTTACCTTCTGTCGGCTCGTCATCCAGCTCCGGATGGTCGGCACCAGGACGGAGCCGAGCAGGATCTGGGCCGGGTGGTAGATGAGCAGCGGGACGGAGATCAGAGACAGATGCTGGTAGCCTTCGAAGACGATCTTCAGCATCGGGATTCCTGGACACAAAGCCGGCGTTCAGTCGCGCTCACAGCAACGCCAAACGGTTTTCCACATAACAAAAATTGTATTTCCCCTCATAAAACTGTGTATTTGAATCCATTTTGTCTTTCACTCTTTATACATTATGGCTTGTCATTACTTTTGATTTGTTGTCATTCAATGCAAAACTTGTTTGTTCAGTTAAGATTAAAAACACAGTAATGTTGGGAGCCGACAGTACCCAGAGTGAGAGACTTGTGTGTGGAGCAGAACATGATGGCGACGGTGTCAGCGGGGCTGAATCCTGATCCAGACCTGAGAGGAAAAAACAGTGTGACGCCATGTTAGGGCCACTGTAGGCAGAAAGAAAGGGAAGGAGCCAAAATAAAATCAGATTCTCTGAAATTCTCCAGAAAAGCCCTGGAAATTTCTGCGTATCAAAAGGCACAGATTTGCTGGTTAAAACTGGTTAGTGAGCCGAATGTTAATTCATGAAGAAACTGACCTGGTGGAAAAGGTGAAGGTGAGCAGCATGAAGCTGACCTGGATGGAGAAAACTGCAGAAAACAAAAGAAAGTGAAACGTTTACACCTCGATTTTAGCTGAATCCAAGAGGAAACATCTTACTTTACATTAGAGAGGCAAAGCTACATTTATAAAATACATGCATTTATTTACTTAATATACATTTACATAGAAACTTCCAGAAGCATTTGCACCTCTTGGTAAAGTCTGCACTGCAAAAACATAATATTACAAAGTATTTCTGTTCCAGTTTGGCAAGATTGTTGATTTTGCAGTGTATAAAAAGCCTCAAAATAACTTTACCAATCACCACAGGCAGTGTTGTCATTGAAACCACCTTTTCCAATTCAAAGGTTGGAGTTTTCTAGTTTTCAGGTTGACATTAATTTATTTCAAGGCTTTCAAACCAAAAGCTGAAAGCCAAAAACCCACAAGGTTCCAGTCAGGCCTTCAATACTGATGATGATGACGACCAGCAGCAGGCTGGTGGGGTCCAGCTCGATGTTGGGGTTGCTGAACGTGTCGCAGAACGTTGTGTAGATAATCATGAGGAGGACAGCGCTGCTAATGGCGCCGAACGGAGGCTTCCGGCGCTCCAGACACTCCCTGAAGAAACCGCGGCACACCTGCAGGCCGAGCCGGGAGGGGTTAGCAACTCGGTGTGTCCCAGTTCAGGAGCTGCATCCTCCGAAAGCCGCGGATATTCGACAACCGGGACAGACAAGCTGTGAATTCGGACATATCGGAAATATCGGAGCAATATTGCAATAAGGTCATGTGCTGATAAACTGAGCAGGTATTTGAGATTTACACAGCTTCAGTAATTGCTGCTCTTCACCGCCATTGCCGCTCAAGTTCAACACTTGGCCCCGCAATGAATCCAGAGTGGGTGAAGATTTTTTTGGGCCGTGAAGGATACGCCGAACCCATCCTTCAAATCTGGAGAAACAAGGGCGCATTTGGAGGAATCTTCGTGTTCGGTTAGGATCTATCGCGGCCTCTGAAGGATGCAGCACTGATTTTGGACACGGTCAACGGGAACAAAGTCGCCCAGAAGTGGTGCGTCAAAAACGTCTTCCTACCTGGCCGAGGATCAGCGGAACAACAACCGTCATGAAGAGCTGAGAGAAGATGGAGGTGAAGGGGACAGAGGATGAAGATCCGAGCTGCAGGAGGAGGAGAAACAAAATGAAACATCTCCAGAGTGGACTGGGATGGTTTAAAAACACAAAACATTGCAAAAACACAACATCTTATTAGTTCACTTTAAATAACTTACAAGTAACTTTTCAGCAAGATATACAAGCTTGTTTTAAGCCAATATTTTTAAATATTGATTAGAAGTGATAGTTCTCGTGGCAGATTATTTCACTGGTAACAAAATATTTTTCTCATGTTATTAGTGAAATAATCTGCCATCAGAAATAGTACGTTTTTCATCAGTTTCAGCCATGTATTGACTCTAAATAAATTCCTATATCTTGCTGCAAAGTCACTTGTGAGTTGTTTCAAGTGTACTGAGATATTTGGAGTCAAGAGTAGACCAGAGTTACTTGGCAATATTTTGTGTTTTTTGCAGTAATTAAAGCAAAAATTATTCAAAATAGAAGATAGATGATCCAGAGTGGGTGAAGATTTTGTGATTTAATTATAACTGATTAATAGTAAAGAAACCCTGAATTAAAACATTATAATATTGGTTTAATTATGAATGTAAAGAGCAACAAGAACATCTTTTAAGCCCAATTTACAATAATTTGAGTAATTTTATGGTTTGCAAGCATTTTTTGTGATTAGAAAAAGAAATTAGAAAGGTTTGGAAAGGTAAAAAAGATAAATATAATTTAGATGAACAGATTCCTACCAATGAATGCTGATATGAAATAAGGTGTAAACACTTATGCAACAAGGAAGTTACACCACCTTTACTAAAGAAAATGCAAAGAGATAAATACTTTATGTATTTATCTTTGTGTATAGTGAATGTTTTATGACTTACAAAGAGGAGCAGCAGCAACGGAGTCACCACAATCCCCTGCAGGACAAACAGAAATCATTAGATCCCGGCCCGCTCCGCTTCGGCCCCCAACCCGACCCAAACCCGACCCGCTCCTCACCAGGAAGCTTCCAAACGCAGAGTTAAAGATGGCCGCCGCCTGGAGACACAGAGAGCAGGCGGTCAGCAGGGAAACAGCAACAGGCCGACTCACCAATCGCCTCTCAGGCCGAACCGACCCGGTGTGAGCGTCACCTCGTTCCCGCCGACTGCTTTGGTCAGAATGACGGCGGAGGAAACCGGAGGGGGCATGCAGCTCACCGTCTGTAACCTGGGCAACAACAACAGGAAGAGGGTCAACTGGGGTAAAAACACCAGGAAAAAAACGTTTTCCAAATACATTCACATCTACACACCCACAGTGTATTAAAAGCCCGTCGGGCCACCAGGCTTTACTTGTGCCCCCACCTGGCTGAGCATTGCTTATTTAAGTCCTTTTAAAATGTTGGCACTTTTTAAGAGTTTGTAGACTTTATATTAATCTTTCAATAACACATAATTATCAAGAGGCATTTTAAAATTTCCTATCAACTTTAAGTATTTTTTAACTCAAAACATGACGGTCTGCTGGATGAGTGACTGACCTCTGACCCAACCACCGGGCTGAGCAAGTTTTCTGGAGGAACCTTGTTACACATAATAAGAAATGATGTTCTTGGCAGTTTTAAGTATTTTTACATAATGTTGAGTTGTCTTTTTGGTATTTTCTAATGCTGCTGCTGCTGTTTTAGTAGCTTCAACCTGAACATGAAGTTTGGATGTTGCTCCTAAACTTGCATAGAGAATCAGCTGTAATAACGGTGACTGTGGCTCTTTGTGTTCGGCTCTCAGGTACAGTTTAGACCCAGACAGAGAGCCTCTTTCACACACACGCACACACACTGTACCCTTTGAGAAGCCACTGGTCGATGGTGGTCAGCGCCAGGACCTGCAGCAGCATCCAGACGACCAGGGGGAAGAAGACCAGTGTGAACGACTGGACGAAGAGGTGGAGGCGAACGTGGAACAGCGCTTTCCTCAGCTCCTGACGGGGAAAAAAACAGACGTGACGATGGGAAGTGTCTGAGCTGCACCTGAAGGCATCGCGGCGCTGACTCTCACCTCTGTTTTCAGAGACAGGCCGCTGTTGAAGAAGATGAGGGAAACGGCGATGTAGGCGATGGTGACCTCTGGCTTTAGTGGACCTGAGAGGCAGGAAGAGCGAGGTGCTATTGTACACTGGTAACCACAGTAACAGCTGATAGACCTTCAGTTTATGTTGTTCTGATGCAGTGGTGTCCAAACATTTTGACCTCTCACATTCATTGGCCAAATTTCCTACCATTCTGGACTTGTGGTCAGAAACTGAACAATAAGAACCATTTGTGGAACAAAGTGTGCCACACTAAGGACACCCCTGTTCAAAAGTTTTAAATTAGAACAATGGTTAATAGTCTTGGATGTTTTTTCATACCAGATTAAGTTTTAATTGCTTATTATTTCTTTGTTTCTTCAAAAAAAAGAAAACAAAAATTACAAATGGTAGAAAATATTTTCATAAAGTGGCTTTGTTTTCAATCACTGAATGTTACTGGAAGGAGAAAACGCCACATTTTTTAGATTTTATTCATATTAAAATTTAAAAGGCAAGAATAAATACATATTCCTATGTTTTTGTAAATCGAAAGGAGGATTTTCGAGGCGCGCCTGAAGGCATCACAACAGTAGCAGCCCAGCAGGTTGTCTTATCTACAGGTGAGGCTGAATTACATTAGATTACTTATTTATCAGTATTTGTTTCACTACTGTAGAGATAAACAATCTCTACAGTAGTTCTAAAACTGTCCTCAGATTAAGTCTGAAAATCCCGAGACTGATTTTTCCTATAAAAACTAAAAGATAAGAGGTGAAAGGAGTGTTGACATTCCCGCTGAATGCAACGTGTCACTAGGATCCAGGCAGGAGGAAACATTTCAGCTTCTTCCAGATAAATTGGGATCAATTCACATTTATATTCAGCTGAGCTCTCCGTTTCTAACGTTTGAAGTTAAAAACTCTATATTCATTCAAAACTTTGACCCAACCGCTCCGAACTCCGAGGCTCACCTCCTTTAACACCGACACCGGGCAGCAGTTTGGCCGACAGGATGACCAGCACTATCCCGATGATGAACCACTCCTTCCGCAGCTTCGCCAGGAGGCCCATGATTCAGCTGCCGGGGCTCAGCCTGCGGCCTCCCAGCCGGCCCTCCGATCGCAGCAGCCGGGCTCAGGTTTCTGCAACCTGCCGCTGCTTCTTCCTTCCCGGAGTTCAGTTGGAAAACACCAACGGAGCAATAGGAGCCTCTTCCGGACACGTGGGCTGTGACGCCACCGTAATGACCGAAGAGAGGCGCACAATAACTTACCGTAACAAACGTTTGAAAAAAAAAAAATATATAAAAAATATACAGAGAACACAACACACTTCAGCCCAAAATAAACCACTCAACCGTTTACTTTTGCAACTTCAGAGAAACGTTCACAACTGAAAATACCGGATACAATCTCAAAGCCGGAACTTGTCCCTTAAAAATAAGAGCGATAAATCTAAAACCGGAAGTTAATTATACATAAGCAAAAACCATGTGTGCCCAGAAGGGATACAAAAAATATAGAACTTAATTTAGGGTTATTAAAAAAAATCTAATTATAACACATGTTTTAAAGTTAATATATTTAAACAATAAAGAATATTACAGTATAAATTAAATCAGACAAGAGGAGAAATGTTAATATTAGATTCTAATAATTTTTTGTAAGAAAAAACGATTAAAAGAACAACTACATTATACACATCAAACATGCCTTCAGGTGCAGCTCAGACACTTCCCATCGTCACGTCTGTTTTTTTTCCCGTTAGGAGCTGAGGAAAGCGCTGTTCCACGTTCGCCTCCACCTCTTCGTCCAGTCGTTCACACTGGTCTTCTTCCCCCTGGTCGTCTGCTGCTGCTGCAGGTCCTGGCGCTGACCACCATCGACCAGTGGCTTCTCAAAGGGTACAGTGTGAAAACATTCTGACCAAAAACATTGGCGTTTAAACATTTATTTTGTTGGTCCATTGACATCTGGCACAAGTTCATAGAGTTTAAACTGAAAGCCAAAAGGTTTCCAGACACTTTAATAAAGATGAACTGAATCAATATAAATAAGCTGAATACTAGTTAGATCACATCATCTTAGTTGGAATTTGCTGATAAATAAAAGTTTTAAATTATTTTCAGATGTGAAATCTTGCCATTCTGTTAATTTATTATTTCTTGAACAAAATAAGTGGTGGGCAATATGCAAAGATAAGTAATAATATATGTTTTTGTTTGTTTTCTCCTTCCTCTCAACAATCAGCTGCTGAATGTTAATTTCTAAACCCTCAGCAGAAGTCCTGGTGTCCTCTGGTTTCCTTCCAGTCCACCAGCTGCGTCACAGAGGACTGAGAGGGCATCTCCATCTCAAAGATGTATCTCTTGATGAGAGAGTGTGCAGATGTATGACCCAGCTTCACCTGAAAGAGGTGACGAAAACAGGAAAATTGAGAGATATCCTCTGCCCTTACTTGTAGTTTTGGTGATCCTCAGGGATCTACACTCACACCGCTGTTGTTTAGTTTTAAAATAAATTATCTCTGAACTGTATCCAAAAAGTCTGAGGTGCATTCTCACCAGTCTGGTTTAGTCTGCTTTAATCAAACTGGTTCTTTTGCCTCGAAAGTTTGGTTCGTTTGCGGAAGTGTGAACGTGCAATCGGACCAAAACAGTAAAATCTGGTTAACCTACAAGTCTTTGTTCGGTTTAAATGAATTCTGGAGCAAAACAAAAGTATATGTGAAAGCCAAGCGGACCGGAGACCTTTCCAAAAGCAGGAAGCAAACTACAATGCAGGGCATTCTGGGTAAATACAACCAAAAAAAACACCCTTTTTTAAAAAATGCAAACAGCAACAGGAAATTGTGTTTTAACGACATAAGCGTAAAATAGTTTTGAGAAAATTTGAAATGGAAATGCAGCTACAGTTTCCTGGTACCGAACAGATGTCTCCAGATGTGATTTTAAAAAGATGCACCTGTGCTTTATGCTGCAGAAGCACTTCTCTGGCGGTGCAGGCAGCTTTGTAACTCTGCAGGAAGTATTCACACGATTTCAGAGGCCGATTCTGCAGAAAGAGACAGATGAAATCACTTCAACACTGACAGGATAATAATCAGCTTAACGTGTCTCAGTTTGGTACCACATCGCTGTAGATGCAGCCCAGAATCAGGCTGATGTCCGCCAGCCTCTCCTGCATGTCGCTGCTATTGCACAGATCTGCTGACTTCTCCAGGATTTCAATACACTCCTCGATGTTTCCTTCGCTGTTAGAAAGATAAAAACCCTTCGACCAACACTTTGATTAACTGTTGTACCAAGCAAATTTTCTCTTTAGACCATTACATGACCATTAGCTTTTGGAAAAAGATCATGCTCATGTACTGATTCAGTCTAAGCAAAGAAGATTTTTCACTAATATCTAGGTGCACGGCAAACAATATGCACAAATTTCTACTTGGGACTCACTAAGAATGACACCATAAAATGCTGATGACTTCAGATTTTTAAATATGGCTGATTTCATTGCAGCGATATGGACGTAAAGTTTAATCATGATATTTTGTGCAACAATTGTAATAATGAAAAAATGGCAATAAAAACTATCCACTACCTTTTTCAAGCTTCTGATTGGCTATGACTGCAAGACGCAGCAAACCAGAGCCAAACAAAACCAGCCAAGACCAACCAAAGCCAATCAGGGCCAATCAGAGTCAACCAAAGCCAATCAGAGTCAACCAAAGCCAATCAGGGCCAATCAGAGTCAACCAAAGCCAACTAGATCAAACCAGAACCAATTGGGGCCAATCAGGGTCAATCAGGATCAAGTCAATAATTCCTTAGTAATGATAGAGAGCATTTGTTCCCCTTGCTGTTTTTTCACTTATAACAAGACATTTTCCCCATGTGATAAATGAAATAAAGTGCCAGTGGAACTATTAACTTTTATTCACTGTTAAGAACTTAATGACTATATCTTGCTTTGTCTTATTTCAAGTGTACAAAGATATTTCCACTAGACAAAAGTGGAGGTATCTTCAAAATATTTTAATCGTGTATTAAGAAAAACAAAACAAATGTCAGTGTATTTTTTTCCAAACCAAACCAAAGGATTTTGGAGGTGAAGCTGAGAAACTGTGATACAAAAATAAAACTAAATTTAGCTAAATACAATTTAGGTTTTGGATCAAACTTGACTTCTGTTTGAAACGTCTCATCATTTCATCCCACAGCATGATGCAGCCACCACCATTGGTCGGATGATTGACCAGAAAGCTGAAGCCAGGTTTGATTTTTTTATGACTAGAAACATCTGTGATGATGTCGGTGTTCGTACCTTTGTAAGGACTTGGCTATGGCCTTGTAGGACTTCACCAAACCTTTAACATCTTGCAGAGAGTCAAACAGTTTTACACAGGTGTTGAAGAGCTGGGAGTCATTTGTAAAAGACACTCATGAATTTATTTTCGTCAGCTGAATAATGTTTCTGTTTCCAGCTAAAGTCAAGATTTGATACCTCCTTGGCTGCTTCATGATCTCCTGAGCTCTGTAAGCCCATTCCTCCCTGAAGAACGACTCGGCCTTCACCGACTTATCGCCGCCTGAAAAAAACAGATTACAGACTCATGACAAAATGCTTAAGTTAGGTTTCAAATAAATACATTTCAACCAAAAAACCTACAATTTTTCAGAAAAACCTGTTCCTGGAAGCATAATAGGTCACATGTTTAAACTCCAGGGTAGAACAGAGGAAAACGGACGGCCTGATAATATTAATACCACATAACGTTTTTAGTTATTATTTTCTTCCTCTCCCCCCTTCTGCCCAAAATAACTGTGACCCTCAGTTAATCGAGAAATATTAGAGAAAAGCAAAATAATGCAAATCAGACAATAATTGCCAGGATGAGAGAAATAAAGTATATTCTAATATTTCAAACAATTTTACTGTTTTTGTTGTGACACCATTTGGTTATGTTTTACATTTGTCCTAAATATATCCATTTAATGTTTACTTCATTTTTTTGGTTCTAATTTAATTTTGTTGCTGTTATTTGCTACTTATTTTGTAGATCAACTCCTCCTTTTGTCAGTCTGTAATGTTTGTTTTACGTGCACTAATTGGTGAATTAGTGTGAACTCCATATTCTCCTCCCACTCACCCTCAATAGCCATCTTGGATCCCAGCTGCAGCAGCATGGTGGCTGTGTCGTATTGCTTCGCTGCGAGGCAATTTTCACCCAGCAGGCTGTAGATTTCTCCCAGTTCCCTGCAGCCCCAGAGCCTCAGTGGCCGGCCCTCCTGGTCCTTCCAGCCTCCCTCCTCCGCCTGCTTCAGGGCCCTCTCCGCCTGATCCCTCGCCTCCATCAGGTCGCCTGGGGGACGGGACACAACTGCGTACATTTGGCGTTTCTCCAGGCGTGACGGCGTCTGTGTGACGGCTTACCTTGCTGCCGGTACAGCTCAGCCAGGTGGAATCTGGCCTCCGTGGCGAATTTGGATCGGCTTCCGAACACTCTGTCAGCGCAGCTGTGGAAGAAGTGAAAGCTGAGCCAGATGTCGGTCGGATGGTTGAAGTAGCGACCCAAATGCAGCCGCTCTTCACACACAGCTGTCCAGGAACCTGCACAAAAAAAACCTTTAGTACTTAAACTACAGTAGGACTAAACGATTAATCGATTATTAAAATAATTATCAACTAATTTAGTAACTGATTAATTGTTAACTGGAGTATACAAACTGAAAGAACGACACAGGCAGAGCAGTGATTATTGATTAATTAATACGTATCAGATTAATTGATTATTTTGATAATTAATTTTAAAAAGGATTGAACTGAAAAATCCACAGAATGTCCCAAATTCTGTATCTGATAATCGATTAATAGTCAGAATATTGTTATCGCAATTTAGGCAATAAAATATTTATTTCCTTATTTAAAAAGATACTAAATTATGTCTTTACTTGCATCTTTGAAGTATTTTTAATATCTAATAAAAATGTTGAATCAAAAAATACGCAGAATTTGCCAATTTCTTGCGTCAGACGAATCAAATAATCGTCAGAAGAAACGATCAGTCAGTTAGTAAAGTAATTGTTAATCACAGCTCTGAACTAAAGCTAGATGATTTTATGGTTTTTTGGATCCAGATCGGATTTTTCACAACTAATAAAATAACTCCAGATGACCATCTTCTTCCTCTCCTCACCGTCCCGTTCTGCTTTCTCTGCCCGGCTTAGGTGCAGCCGGATGGTCTCCAGTTTCTCCCGCTGCTCCTCCAGTGGCGGTTCCTGCAGCCGGGGCGATCTGTGCGGGGCGTTGGCCCTCTGCTTCAGGTCTGAGCACAGCAAAGTGAAGAGCTCTGCAAACGACCTGAAACTCAGACACGGATCAGTCAGCCGAGCCGATGTGCGATCGATAACTCAGGGTGATAGCAGGGAGGGGAAGGCTACCTGTGGTAGCCGTCCTGCAGCATCTCCACACACATGTAATGCTTCGGCGTGTTTCTGAACCTGAAAAACAGGAAAGTATCAAAGGTCAACCCTCGTAGAATCAGAAAACCACTGCAGTCCTGATGTTGTATCCGCTCTGATCATTAAAACATCACAGTTCATGTTGCTGTTTTCTCTCTGCTCCTCTTTTCTATCCCATAGAAACTACCCCTGACTCAGCGTCTCTCCATTTGCTGCCGTTCCTGTTCCATGGAAAGTTCTCTAGGCTCAGAGCTTCTTTCTCTAGAATTGTCTTTTTGATTGGGCCATCAAAGAATTTATTACAGCTTTGTGTGATAATTTTTTTTTACTAGATCAGCTGATTGAAGATATTGCTAGCTTTAATGCTGAATTATTTTCCTTTCTTATTGAAAGTACACCTCGCTCAATGTGTGTTTTATTGTCTTTTTGTAAAAAGAAAGCTGTGTCTTGGCACAGAACACAAACAGTTTAAGACAAAAACAGCTTTGTCCCAGTCAAAGCTGTTTTTGTCTTAAACTCCGTGGTATTTTTTCTCTCTTTAAAAAGTACACCTGTCTCAGTGATATAGAGTATCCTTCGAAATGTTCTGCATTGATACAAAGCATTAAAACAATGCTATACATCTTTTCTCTAAATGCTATTCTATCATGAAATGGATTTCTCTGCGTTGTGTTCTCATTTGTTTTGAACTGCATGTGTTTGACCAGATTAATGTCTGTACTGAGATTAATTTGAACCACATTGTATCTATATAGAGTTGATCTTACATATTTATGGACATCTCTTAAATTACTGCTTTATAATGTTGAGTTAGTAGGTGGTTATTTCTTGTCAGCAGAGGGCGCTCTAACTCTTACTCTCATTGTTCTGATAGTTTTCAGTTGTTGATCTTAGATTAGTGGAAGATCAGGATTTATCAGGTCCTGGTCT